AATTTTTATTTACATATTTTTGAATTTTATATTTATTTTTTTAAATATTAAATTTATATTATTTAACGTAAATCATTTCAATTTGTTTAATAGTTCAAATGATTTTTGCAATGTAAACAAGAATTGATTAAAAATTAAAAAAATAAATTTTTTAATCACAAAAAAATTACATTCTACAATTTACACACAATGGATCTACATATGGTTTAGTCTTCATTCTGTTTGCGAAGAAAGTTTTTAGCTGTCCTCGAAAAAAGCTACACATACCGCTTTCTACATTCTAATGATTCTTTCTATCAATGCAGATAAATTTTTATCTTGGTTCAACTCTTTTTAATTCTAAGAATTAAAAAAAGAACACGTTGAATCAAGAAACCAAGCAAAAAAATTTTTTTCTTTGGAGCCAAAACGCAAAGCCATCAATACAAAAAAATTCAATGTGAGTAAAATTTTAGGAGCTGTAAAATGTTGATAAGCATCGATGATTTTACGTTTTACTTATTCCGGAGCTAAAATTAGACACGCCTAATAGTTTAGACCATGAAGGCTCAGTTTCACTAATATAAGATGAACTTTAATCTTGGTTTTAACTTACTGTTTATCTTCTTTTAATTCTTAGAATTAAAAAAAAGATAAATAGTAAATTTGAACTAAAATTAAAGTTAATCATACATTGATCAAATTGTGCCAAAGAAAATCTTACGTGGCTAGTAAAAAATTTCAATTATCTTAAAATTTAGAAAGCAATACGTGACTTCGACAGCAGCAAAAATCTTCGAAGACGAATTACATTGAAAAATAATGTTGTATATATATTTTGCTAATGTGTATTGTAGATAAGGAATAAATAAATTTATTTATTCCTTATCTACAATACACAATAAATAAATTTATTTTATATTTTTTGATTTTTCCTAAATATTTATTTATCAATATCTATGCGGTTTAATCTTCATCAGCCATATTTTTTTTACCATCGAAATTTATTTTTGTAAGATCTCATTTTCTCGTAATATTATATGTATATTGAAGAACACTTTTTACAATTAATAACTAATCATACATCAATGATTAATTTAATATTATTAATAATATTTTAATTATTAATAATAT